ATTTGATTATTTAGAATTTTACTTATAAAGACATAACTTTATAATATTTTATAAAAAGAACTAGTAGAGATTATTATTTGTCTTTTGTTGATCATCCTTTAGCTGCTATGAAACACAATGTACATAGGTTTCAGAAACCACATCTCTTAGAAACAGCAGGCAAACAAACATTGGATTCATGTGACTGAAATTAGAGAATATGCCAAACGTATAACTTTGATATGCATAGTGAGTAGGAAGCAAATAGAATAGTATATTTTAATGTATAAAATGCAAATAGGCTATTCAGAAAGATATGTTTGTAAATGCAAGCATTTTGTTAAATATTTGAAGAGATGTAATTATAACTTCATATGTATCTGCAATAAAAATTACAGCTTTGGGGTTGGGAAGGTGGCTCAGTGGTAGAGCGCATGCCTTGCATGCCAGAGGCCCTGGGTTCGATTCCTCAGCACCACATAAGCAAAAAGAAAAAAGCCGGAAGTGGCGCTGTGGCTCAAGTGGTAGAGCGCTAGCCTTGAGCTGAAGAGCTGAGGGACAGCGCCCAGGCCCAAAGTTCAGGTCCCATGACAGGACCCCCCACTCCAAAAAAAAAATTACAGCTTTAGCTTTCTACTGTAAGTTGGTTGTTCTTAAGGAAAAAGCAAGTAGTCCCTTATATTAGTAATAAGCATCTATCTATAAGGTAAATTCAAAAATGTCACTTTCCATTAAAAAGCAGCTACAAAAACTGTATTAGATGTTTTAGGAAAGTAGCCAGAAGCTTTTTAAAGCATGAAGAAATGCCCAGACATTCATGTAGGTAACTTATAATTAAGTAGAGTTTTCCTGGTTTGTTCTTACACCACCAGCATCACCACTGTCATTTTCATAATCAAATACTTACTTGTAATATTTTATAGCATTTTAAAGCAAGTTTAAAGGGCCCAGGAAGGGTCCTAGTTAATAAAATGGAAAAAACAATACTACTGATAATTTTCTTCTTGTCTGTATATCTGGATTTTTCTTACTAGAAAACATTTTGCTTTCCTGAAGGCAATAGGCAACACTGGATAAAACTAAACTACATAACTTCTCCAAATCAGTTCAGGATATTGGTATAAATTCATATTGTTAGATACAATGTAAAGATACTAGAACAATTTTTATTTTTGTCTAATTCTCTTTCTTTCTAAATCATTTCTCTGTTTTCAAGATTAGATTTGGCTGCAAATACTCAAGTCTTCTTATTCTTTTCATACTCTCAAAAAATAGATGCCATGGAATTTGAAATAGTCCCCTTTTTTTCAAATTACTGATTTAACAGAATTAAACTGAAAAAAATACTGTCAATAAATGACATCATAGACAAAATTATCAAATGTTTGACAAACTGAGAAAAAAATACTTGTAATTAGCAAAGATTTAACATCTAGGAGATAAAGAATTTGCAAGTCCATAAGAAAAACTGTGAGAAGAACAACTGAAACAACTGGGAAATAAGGAAAGTCAAATCTGAATTAGCAAGTGTATAAAGAAATCACCAACAATTAACTCTGAACAAATGGGCAAAAAATTGTAGGTAAGCCAGCTATTAATGAAATTTAGATAAGTATATTCTTTATGTAGTTTTATGTGAGTGTATACTGTACATTGTAGAGAGAAATCTGGTAATACTTACCTTAAATAAATATGACCCAGTAAGCTCTTCCAGGGATACATCCCAAAGGAACTCAAGGCTAGGTTCAGAAGGGGACAGGCACAAAGATGCTCATTGTGGCAGCAAGGTAGTTGCAAGAGGCAACTCTTTAGTAAAATACATGTATGCATACAGTAAGATATTAACCAGCACTAGTAAACAGCAAACTAGCATTGCATACAGTAACATGAGTATATTTCTGGATGAGTGGTAAAAATTAAAATTAAAAGTTAAAATATAAAGATTACAAGTAGAGTAAAACCCATAGTATATTACCTAGACAAATTAATAATAAGCATATACAAAATAGTTCTGTATTTATTTCAAGTAATAATATATATCCAAAGGTATCTGAGAGTTTAGGGCAATATAATGGTTCCCCACAGTGAAAATGCTGGCAAAGAGAGATAAAATGGAGAATAAGTGGCAAGATGACATCTTTAAAATACATTTTTTGCATGGACAATTGAATTACATAGGTATATGATATGCAAACAGTGGTATGTACACAGAAAGAAAGAAAGTCAACAAGTATCTTACTAGGCCTTCCGGTGCAATTAAAAATCTATTTGGAATTGTAGTGATAAGTGAGAGATAAAATCATAATAGAACATTGAAAAATTATTGTTCAATCAGGTGTGAGAGTGGGGGTTTTCGAGGTTCCTTCCACAATTGAAAGTCTCTTTTGTAACTAGATAATAAAAACAGAATAATCTATATCACACTGTGAATAAATAAGCTCTCCAGTGGCAGAAGAAAGTTTGCTTGAGGTTTCTCTTTCTGTTTTAATATTTTTTTTCCTTTTCTTCTTATTTTTAGACATTTTTCTTTCAACAGATATCTGCTTTTAGCAGTCACTCAATCTATTTTTGCTTTATGATTGTCCTAGGCCATAGTGAATTATCACTTGTTTATCCCTGAACACCAAAGGAATTTTTATTTTATTTCAATCTAAAAAATAAAACCACTAAAAACCAACTCAAAATTTCTTCCTCAGTCTAGAACATTGCTCAAGAGTCTCTTTTCTCAAATTTTAAGCCCAATATATTTGCTTTCTTACAGATGAAAATTGTTATTATCAACTAATAATATCACTTGCCAACTGAAATAAATTATACACAGATAGAAGATAGAACTTAATTGTAGGAGAGAAGAAAGTTTCATTCATTTTGGTACATGACTGGTGATGAAATAAACAGGAGGCATAGAAGGGAATTAAATACTTGCTGAAAAGTAGAACAGATTAGACAAAAGTTGTCAGAAAAGCACCAAGTAAAGTAACTCACAAGCTAGTCATTTAGGAAACAAAAAAAGGTATGAAAGCAGACTCTCTCTACTCAGGAGTCTGTTCTTGTACCTGCAGAAGACAAAGAGGCTGTATAAGTGTTGTGAGCCTAATACCTGTACAGCACAAAAATGAACATGATTTAGAGTATTAAGATTCATATGCCTATCTAAACACATATTAAACAAAATACCTGAACATTTGAGTTTACATATAAGGCAGCAGGAAGACAAAACACGGGAATAAGAAGCACATTAGACACAGCAATTTAAAAGCAAACTATCATTCACTAATGGAATAAATGTTGGCAAAAATAAAATATGAGACATCTACAATATTAATATTTTAATGCCAAAAATGAGAAATGTAGAACCTACTTTGTAGAATGATTTTGAAAACTGCATAACTGAATTTTTATGAACAAGACCAAAGCATGTTTAATATAATGAAATCTTCATTGCTTCATCATTACTGTTGTTACTATAGATTTTATGTCTAGTAAGGTGTCTTAATTTCAGTTCAAGAATTATAATTTGTAGAGTTAATGGCTTCTCTTTTATATGTTCTGCATTATATGCTTTTTTCTCCATAATGTTCTTTTTGGAAGCTTTTTCTTTTTATTATTGTTTTTCTTCATGTATTTTTATTGTTATTATAAACAGGAGTTTATAGTCATATATTTTATATATATAGTTATATGTCAGATAGAGTACATTTCTTTTGGAACAATGTCAAGAGTTTTTTCTAACTAACTATATATACATATACATATATATATATGTATATGTTGACTGTCTTAGCTCTAAAGAGGTAAAAGGAAATTCTATATATTCAGCCCAGATTAGTGATGTCATCTATACAACTATCAGCTAGCCAGTGAGGCTCAAGAACTCAGCAGAGCAGAAAAGCCACAGTAAAACCAGGGAAAGGATAGAAAGAGGCAATTATTCAGATATGGATGAAGTTTTCTTTACTTCACCCCATACAAAAGATGGACTATATCACAACCAGAAAACAGGCACTTATAGCAACTTTCCAAAGAAAGATAAGACCCCCTCAAGTGTGCTTACTTGTTTAAGCAGTACTTTCACTAAAAGTAGCTTTTTGTGATTAAAATGATTTTAAGTAATTTATAATTTTAATTAAATTTTGACTCTTGCGTCAAAGAACAGTACTGTTTGCCATGGATAATTCAACTTTTCCAAGAAACTTAGTTTGGATGAAATGTGTTAGCTTGCTAAAATGATGAAAATGGCTTGAGGTGTTTGAAAACGTTTTCACTCTGACTGACACGAGCCTCCTCTGGTGTTTAGGTCTCCCTCATCAAGCACAGGTGTGCTAGGACTTCCTTAGATAGCAGGCCAGCAGGCTGTTTTGGTGGGAGGATGATCACGTCCAGGGTAGGCCAAGATTAGAAGATGGTGAGAGGACCTTGTTTCACTTCTGATTTGGGCCCGGGGTTTTATGCTGAGCAAGTTGTTTCCTAGGGTTTAGAGCAATCTCAGTTTCACAATCCCAGATAGAAATAAAACAACAACAAAAAAAGATTTCCCCCTAGGAAAACAGCTGCAGTTCAGCTCGGGGCTGCGTGTGAAGACACAGTGAGGGACACACCGTGCTAAAGTCGGTGACCGCAGTGGGGCAAGCGCGCGGGGAGGACGTGGGCTTGCTCCACGTCGCCCCAAGGGAATAGACGTACTTGCGTTCACTCGTTAAAGAGGAGTTCCTGAGGTGCTGGAATAGTCTACAAATAGGAGAATGACCTGGCTGGAGGCGAACCAAGGCGCTGCTGGGTAGCAGAATGCAGTCAGAGAGGCTTGGGACTCCCGGCAGGGTAACCGGAACAGCCGCGAACCTGAGGGAGCCGGGTTTACACCACCAGAGGCTCGGCCGCGCCTCATAAGCCCCGCCCTTCCACAACCCCGCCTTCTTCTGCTCGGGCCAATAGGAAGCCACGATGTTAGCGGGTGGGAGGCGCGGCCGGGTTGCTACAGCCAGAGCTGGGCGGCGGCGGCGGCGGCAGCAGCAGCGGCGGCGGCGGGCGCTGGAGGAGCGGACTCGCGGATTCGGAGGCGGGGGCGCAATGGAGGGACCGGAAGGTAAGGAAATGAAGGATGCAGGCTTAGGGCCCAGAGCATTCGGGGGTCCCGGATACCGATATTCCGGAGAGGCGGAGGGGGGTCCAGAGCGGCGGACCCCTCCTAGGCCTGGGTGGGCTGCAGCCGGACAGCTCCCCACGCCGAGGAGGGGTGACTCCCGGAGCCCCGCCTCAGCCCGGCTCGGGCTGGGCTCTCTACCCAGCCGGCGCCCGCGCCAGCCCACACGACCTTTCCTTCTGTTTTCTGATCCTGCCTAACTCCCGCGGTCCCGTAGTTAATCGGTCTCTTGGCCAGGTTTTTTGTTTGTTTTGTTTTCCTTCTTCTCCTTAAAAACTGGAGTCTAGGTTGCTGCCCACGGCCTCTCCACTGCCTGTCTTTGCTGGTCCTTCAGGGTGTATCTCCTACCATAAGCCACTTTGCCTTGGCCAGTTGCCTCTGCATAGCTGTTTTCACATTTCTGCAGCATCCTCCATGGGAGAGATGCCAGAGCATCTCCTAAGGAAGTGTCTGTCACTGGCAAGCTGTCCGACCGAGACAATAGGTTTCCAGATGGATTAGATGGTTTATTCACGATGAATTGTGAGAGAGAGCTAGCCTTGGTCCTTCAGCTTTGGGCTTATCCTTGTGTTGTAACTATGACTCCAGATTTTGCTTTGTTCCCAAATCCTTCACTTTTCCTCCATTCTCTTAACACATTCTGTGCAGGGACTACATTAGTTTAAAAACAAAGGAATGAAGGGGAAATAAAAATAGCATAAGCAAAAGCAGTTTAAAGATTTAAATTGTGTTTTATCCTTCGGATGAAGAACAAGTCTTCAGAATTGAAAGATCTTGTTAGGATGTAACTCCTTTTTTTTTCTCCTTTACTTATATTCAGGTCGATGGAATAAAGAACGAGCCATTGAGCGCTGTGTATTGTTAAATGATGCAGAGTAAAATATTTCAGGTTTTGTTTCGAAGTGAAAAGTGATATTTGGTGACTTTTCCAGTGTTCTACACTCACCAGAAAGCAAGTGGCAATAATGAGTTTATTTCATATATTTGCTTTGAGTGAAAGCCTTCATGTTAAGCACCTTGAAAATGACTGATAATTCTGATAATTTGTCAACTTCAGTGTGCTATTTCCTGTGAAGATCATATTTAATTTAAGAGTACCAGTCTGAAGATTTTACTATTTAACGTTTATGGTGAAAGCAGGTGTCTTCATCTAGGTTTTCCCTTACATATCCTAAACACTTTTCTATCTTGAGGATGCAACAAAGAATAAAAAAGTCAAAGCTTTAGCCATTTCAGTAGTCTTTTCATTTTAAGTTGTGTTGACATAACTAGTGAAGCTGTACTTAAGAATGCATTTAGTAATGGAACCCTATTATACTCAATTACAAGGGTGGAGTATGCATGAATTCTATGTGATAAGGCTGTGGGCATTACGGGTTCCACTGATGTATCATGATAAACAATACCGGATTTTTCATCTATTTTTAAATAAAACAATATTATCATTAATGGTGTGTTTTGTTGCAATGAATTAGGTTGAAATACATGAAATGGTTCTCTTTCTGGAAAACAGTAAACATTCGAATATTGGTAATTGCAAATGGTACAAACTAATAAAAGTTTTTGAGAATTTTATGTTGAATGAAGAATAGAGATTTTCTTCCTCCAGGCCCTTCCTGTTCCCCTTACTCATTTTTAAAAATAAATTATTTCATCACATTTGGCAAAGATCAAAACTTTGAATCTTTTTTTTTTTTATTGTGAAAATACTGTACATAGGGGTTACAATTACATGGGCAAGATAATGAGTACATTTCTTATCAAGCATTGTAGCCTCCTCCTTTGTTTTCCCTTCCCATCCCGTCTTTCCTCCACCCAACCCTCTCCCCCCACCCCCAAAGTTGTAAAGTTTGTTTTCAACATAACGTCTTGTACGTCTCATTGTTGCAATGGGTCCACCTGTATCCCTATTTAAACGATTTTTTTCCCCTTCCCCTCCACAAATTATAACAACATCAAATACAGTGAAAGCAGGGGTTATACCATGGGGGAGGGACATACAAAGCATCAAAGAAATAATCTTAGAATTCTATGCCTCCATCAGAAAACTTTGAATCTTGAAGTTGCTATTCATTAATTTATTCATCTGTGTCTTCAGATAATAAACATTCATACAGTGATAGTTTCTTTTCTGTGTTGGAAGTCTCCATCTAATATTTTGAAGGTGTGGGGTTACCTTACGTTTCAGTATCTAGTATGAAATTTTGAAGTTTGCTCAATGTGTAATAGTAGTTGAGTAAATATTGTGCTCTGTGTAATTAGACTTGCATTTCTGTTTGAAACCAGTTACCAAGTTCTGGCTTTACAAGCTTCTGTGAAGACAAACTATAGATTCTTGAAAAGCTCTACTGATGATAATCTTATTCTCTTCTTTATGAGGTTATTATTTGTATGTTAATCATACAAATTATTTTTGATCTTATGGGACTTATAATTCCTGAATTTTCAAAGGTATAAGCATTTATACTGAACAATTTAATTTGAAGCCAAATGTAAGTCTTTGCTTAAAATTGTGTAATTGATAAAAGTATGGTTTGAATATTTAAAGATTTTCCTTTTCACCCAAATGTCATACAGATGTATCCAAAGACAACAGAAGTAGTTTTAGACCTGAATTATAAGCTTTTAGAGAGGTATTATAGAATTAAGAGGTGATAAACATTTTTTAAGATTTCTCTTATATATATATATGGATATATATATCCATATATATATATATCCATATATATATAGTACTTCATTGCCTTCATAATATCCTAAAAAGTAGTTACAACAATGGTAGATATCAGCTGCCTGTTTCTCTTTTGGGCTTCTAAAATTACTAGATCTTAATATTGTCTTCTGAAACTTGATTAGGAGTGGAATTGCTATTTTCCAGTGTAGCATTGCCTGCCTTAAAGGCAGGCAATATATCTCATTAATGTTTCTACTGTGTTTTCCCATAGTATAACTGTATACTAGTTCATTAAATAATTTTTCTAGCATTGTTGTTTGGGGGGGGATGATACTGATTCGATGGGAGATATTTTTTATAGTCAATGCATTGGAAAGGCTTGTATTTTAATTTGTGCTTTGTTTCATTTTAGCTATATGATTTGGGCAGTTATTGAATACTATAATGTCTTAAATTAGATAACATACACTGAGAATTTAGCTGACTGTCTAATGTATTAAACCCCATGTTTATTAGGTTTATTGGGTGAACCCATAGGAGGCATAAGTACTTGAAACAGTCCAGGATAAACAGAGCATATGGTCTATACAGAGCCCTAAATAATCTGAAAAGGGAGAAATTGGAACTAGAAATTGGAACATATATGTATGTATGTATATATATGTATATATGTATGTATGTATGTTTGTATATCTATATATATGTATATAAAATAGGCATTGGAACTAAGGCAAAGATGGGGAAATTGAAAGGAAGGATAGATTTAGAAGTTACTTCTCTTTTAAGAGGAAGAAAAGTTTGAGTGATCGAGTAATGAGTTTGGCTTTAGAAGTGTGTTTATACAATACTTGAAGTATCTGGTGGAAAAGTCTCAGAAAAAAAGTCTCATGGAACTGTAGACATAGACATTTTAGTAGTTATCAAACATATATGACAACAAATGAGTGTAATCACTAAAGCAAACTGTTTAGCATAAAAGAAAAGTTACTTAGGAGAATCTAATGTTTTAGGGTTTAATAGAACAGGAAATTGGAATAAGGAGCACCTTTAAAGAAGTTTAAAATTTTGTCAAAGAGGAATGTGGGAGCAAAATAATTTTCATGGAGTAGGAGGTAAAAAGCTGATAGTATCTCATATTTAAACATAGGTAGCCTAAGCACTCATCTTCTCAAATCCTGCTTCATTTGTGAAACCTAGACAACTTGTGTATAAAATAAATACAGTAGAAGTCAGAAGATGAAGGATTTTAAAAGTTGAAGGAAGTTATCAATGGTTTCTCATGTTATGGAAAGGTCCTATAAAATAATCTAAGAGAAGGCTTCAAATTTGGCAATTATGGTAATGAGCAGTCATCTCTATTTCACAAAATTGTTTATCTCTATTTTAGCACATTTCCCTGATCTACTTCCCAAAGATGTTGTTATGATGTTCTCTTTTACCCTATTCTTTTGTTTATCCATTGTGTTTATCAGTACTTGACATATATATGTGTACACATATATATACATATATGTGTACATATATATACTTATAAGGAAGTTTCACTTATATGCACAATAAGAGATTGACAACAATAATAAAATATAGCAGTTGTGATCATTGTAATAAGAGTTACGAGAATGGAGTCTTTTTTGAAAGTCAAGACAAGTACTTGTATTTTTAACTACAGTTGACCATCAGTAAATTAAACTACATAAATCAAAAGCATGAGTGAGAGAGAGAGAACTGAATTTTTCTTTTTTTGCAGGATTAAAGTTATTAACTTAGAACCTGGTGCTTGATAGGTTGGCTCTCTACTGCTTAAGCCTCCAGTCTGCTTTTTGATGGTTACTTTATTCCCTAGCCTAGCCTTGAACCTATATCTTCTAGATTTTAGCCTATTGAGTGCAAGGATTTACAAGTGCAAACCTTTAAGAGTCCAGAGGGGGACTTTCTAAAGCTGTTTTGGCTGAGGCTATTGTTTTGAACTAGAGTGCAAGTAAAAAGAGAGTGAAGGCTAGGTGTTGTAATATGTAACTTATCCAATGAAATCTTGTTAAGTTAGCTGAAAAGAAAAATATCCTTGATATTTTCAAGATTGATAACAACAAGATTTTGTAAAAGGTCTTGGGAAGAAAATAGTATTGTGGGTGATATGTACTTCAAAAGAGAATTTTGTTGAGTTATGTAAAGGTTAGATTCAGATCAAGTGTGGTGCAAGGTAAGGCTAACTATCAGTAATCAAATAGACATGCTCGCGTTGGGAAGAATTATTCTTGGATTTTAAGATGTCTTTTTTTTGGAGAAGATTCTCTCCTTTTTTATTAAATATACATATCTTTTAAATGTTATGTTTCATCTATATATAATAGCAAATTCTTTCACATTACCTATATTGTATAATAGTATTACACAAGAATAAAATTGTAAGCCTTATTCATGTTCTGAAATCATTATTATCTACTTACAACAGAATCAAGGCCTTACTAGATAAATTTGCTAAGGACAGATTGGCTTCTCCACAGTTCTGGAATGGTAAAATATTTTATTGATTGAATGTTTTCCATTATATTATTGTTCCTTTTGCTCGCTGCTACAATCTTACCTTCTTTGAATAAGAACTCTTGGTTATTTTTTTATATGCATCAATATTTGCTAGTTTGGGCCCCTTAGGAGAGGTTTGTCAGGTAGATTGAACAAATATTAACTCATATAATAGATTTTTTAAAAGTAATTTAGCAAACTTCTTTATTTTATAGAAGAGGAATCCAAATTTTAGAAAAGTTTGATTTTTTTTTTTTGTTATCTAAAACTCAAGTCTTCAGTAAAGACTTTTCAAAAATATTTTTATCTTTTTATTAAGATGATTATGTTTTCTTTAAGCTGTGTATTCCAGGGTAAACTGAACTCATGATCTTTCTCCCTCACCCTCCAGAGTTCTGTGATTGCAGGAGTGACTAATATCTTACTTTTCATTTACTTATTCTTTTTGTGACAATGAATTTAAAGAGATTTAAGTCAATTACATGGCTTGTGTGAATTTCGATTCCTATAATTGGATTTTATCACTTGCTAATATTCTGCTGCTCTTAAGTTGTATGGTTTTTGTTTTTGTTTTTTTATAAAATGGGAGATGATTTGAATCTTAGATTGAGTATTTAAATCAAATACATTATGGTGGCATTCTGGGAGCAATGATTGTATGATTGTATTGTTTTGTCTTTGTGCCACCATTATTACATGGTATGTGCTTAGCAATTACTAGGTGCTCAGTAGGCAATTGGATTATTTTAATGTATCAAACTGGCTTTTCTCAACATTTATTTTTAGTACTCTAGATTGATACAGTTCTTCATATATGCCCCATGTGCTCTACCACTGGCTTATTCCTCAATAGCGGTAGCCTCAGTAGTTAGTTTTTATAAGTAGATACTGAAATGTACTTTAAAGCAAGTAAAGCATGCAATACTTTTAAACATTATGTTTGACAGAGTTTTAAATCACTGCTTAGTATTTAAAGTATTACACAAAAACTGTAAGCAAGTCTAATGGCTTATTCAGCATGTGGTTTCACTTGGACCATCTTTTTAAAAGCATTCTTAGTGAATTTAATGGATTCCACATGGCAAGTACTTCACCTTTCTGAATTGTTGGTGAAGTTATGTGATCCTTATAAATGAGACTTCTCTCCTTAAGTAACCTATCTCCTGATATTAGAGAAGGACAAATCAGGCAAGTCTTAGCTTTGCCATTGTAATGTCCACTGTTAAAGTGCCACTGTACAGACATTGCCTCCCGTTTGAGATGACAAATAGCCACTATTTGCTAGTAAATAGGGCACTGGAGTACTAGAACAGTAAGGGGGGAAAAAAGTTCTTCTGTTACGATATTTGAATATATTCTCTAATGTCTATTTTGGTTCACTTGATTAGTTTTCTGCAAGCTCAGCAGATGCTATATAATGTACATTATGGAATCCAAAAAAATCCATTTTCCATGAGTTAATGTTACTTCTAAAAGAAAATGTTTTTCTATTTGTCTTTCATATAGTAAAAGAATTTGAACCACAGTAAATTAATCAAAGTATGGGAAAATATTACAAGTTAACAAATTACTTTTGGAAATTAAAATATGAAAATAAATTTAGATTTGATATTTACCTAGTAAATAAAATGATAGATTAATTCAGTTCAGTCCTGAGAAGTGTAGGTTTCTATTGCATTTGTAGTATTTGTTATATCCAGACATATCAGATGAATATATTAAGTTTAGTTGAATACCTCAATTTCCTGGTTCACTGAATCTTAATACCATATATACGTAACAGAGTAAACATGGATGTATGTAGTTAATATGACTAGGTGCTTTTGAGAGTCTTATGCTTTCTATTATCTGGTAACAAACAGTGCAAGATTTTTTTTTTCTAGATTCTCTATGTCATCACAGGAGGTCACTTAACCAACGATAATTCTTTAGAGCTATTAGGATATATGTGTGTTCTAAAGTATAGTGATTTACAACAGAGATAGGTTATAAGATAAGAGACATGATTACGTTATTTGGTTACATCATTACAAGAAACCTAGATATTTCCAACTATATCAGTTTACATATTATGGCATGTTGATCACAGCTAACTTGAAGCATTCAGTAATTTTAATAATTTTGCTTATGTTAATATGAAACAAAGTGCTTTTTGTAAGAACTGACAACTTATCTATGAAGCTAACAAAAAATGTAAAAAGATTGAGTTTACAATTTGATCTATAGAAATTATTTATTGTTTTCTGTTTCAGATAATGGAAGTGTTGTCCAAGTTGGAGAATTACTGCCTTGCAAGATTTGTGGAAGAACATTTTTTCCAGTGGCATTAGTTAGTAGACTGATTCTGTGCCTTTTCCCTTCTGGGTTTAATGTGATAATTAATACTCTAGAACAGCTCTTATGGGAAGAACTTAATATGGAATAATGTTTGAACGGTTACTGCATAATATTCTTGTTCAAGAGTCTCAGTTTTATCTGCATCATTTTTCCACAATGTTCTTCTGAACTCCTCCATTTAAGTATTAAATTCTTTGTAGTAAAAGGGAAAATATTACCAGAAACAAACACACTCTGATAAAAACAAACAAAACACCTCTTAAGTACACATAACAATAGACTTACAGATACAAAATGAGATGATACCTAGGATGTGCTTTCAAGTCATTCAGAGGGAAAAAAGTAGAGAACAATGATTAAAATGCTTTTAATTGTTGGGTAGGATGATAAGTAAATGGGAGTTCATTATGCTATTTTCAAGTGTAAAAAAAAATCTAAAGAAAAATGTTTCTTTCTATTAAAAAATATGTTACTTTTAGATATTTGTAACTACTTACCTACAAATAAAAGACTTTAATTGATCTTAATTAAAAGTAGCCATTCAAATAATGAATAATAAAAATTATGCTTTTGTGCCAAGCATCAGTGGCTTATGCCTGCAATCCTAGCTGTTAAGGAACATAGTATATATTTATAGGTGCATTAGCATATTTTTAAAATTTAAACATAAATTATTCAAAATTCATACATTTATTGAGATGATTTATTAGTATTGTTAATAAGCAATGTTGTTGTTGTTTTTTTTGGTCCAGTCATGGGGCCTGAACTCTGGCCCTGGGCGCTGTCCCTCAGCTCTTCAGCTCAATGCTAGCGCTCTACCACTTGAGCCACAGCACTACTTCCGGCTTTTTTCTTTTTTTGCTTATGTGGTGCTGAGTAATGGAACCCAGGGCCTCAGGCATTTACAAGGCAAGCGCTCTACCACTGAGCCACCTTCCCAGCCCTAAGCAATATGGATCTGCTCATTAGTGTTCTGGCTCCACTTATATTCTAAATTATTTTTAACTAAGTTTTGTTAAAGTAAAACTCGTACTACAACTATTTCCAGAAAATAAAAAAAATTAAATTAAAAAATGAAAGTTCTGAGACCAGAAGCTCACCGTGTGATCCCAATTACTCAAGAAACTTTGATCTGAGGATTATGGTTTGAAGCCAACCTTAACTATTAAAAATTCAGAGTGGAACTGTGGCTCAAGTGGTAATGTACTAGCCTTGAGCAAAATAGCTCAGGGACAGTGCCCAGGTCATGAGTTCAACCTTCCCCTTCTTAACAAAGAATGATAAAAGAGAGGAATTAGTGATCAAAAAGGTTCTTAACAACAGTTACCTCTGCTAGCCTTTTTGTAATACTTTAGAAACATCTTTCCAACATGTTTTTTTTTAATACTTTATTGTAAAAATACTGTACAGAGGGGTTACAGTTACATGAGTAAGGTAATGAGTACATTACCTATTGAGCATTGTTGCCTCCTCCTTTGTTTTTCCCCTAGCATCCTTTCCTTCCCCACCTCCCTATCTATCCCCACCCCTCCTCAAGTTGTAAAATTCGTTTTCAATGTAGTTACATTGTTATAATGGGTCAACCTGTATCACTATTTAAGCATTTGGTTTTTTCCCTCCCCTCCCCAAATTAGAAAAGTGAAGTATATATAGATACAGGGCACCGGAATCAAATATAGTGAAAATGAGTTAAACCACTGGGGAAACATACACAAAAGAAATTTTAAAAAATCACATAGTGTACAGTATAAGTACATTAAGAAGAACAGCGACAAAGATAAAACCTCTTGTGTCCCTGTATTGGGGTTTATTTCACATACCATCATCATCTTATATGGTCAAATGTACATAGCTTTTGACCTTTTCTGCTTATCCCAGACATATACTAGTTATTGTACATAAGGAAAACCATGGGGCCTATGTTTCTTTGGGCCTGGCTTACTTAATATAATTTTTTCCAATTCTTTCCATTTCCTAACAAATGAGGTGATGTCATTCTTTCTGATGGAGGCAAAAAATTCCATTGTAGGGTCTGGGAAGGTGGCTTAGTGGTAGAGTGCTTGCCTTGAATGCATAAGGCCTTGGGTTCAATTCCTCAGCACCACATAAGCAGAAAAATCTGGAAGTGGCGCTGTGGCTCAAGTGGTAGAGTGCTAGCCTTGAGCTAAAGAGCTGAGGGACAGTGCCCAGGCCCAGAGTTCAAGCCCCACGACCACCAAAAAAAAAAAATCCATTTTATACATATGTATTATATACACCACATTTTCTTGATCCATTCATCTACTGGGGGGCATCTGGGTTGGTTACATATCTTAGTATAGTAAATAATGCTACCATAAGCATAGTTGTGCTGGTAACTTTATTATACTCTTGTTTGTGGTTGTTTGGGTAAATGCCCAAAAGTGGGATTACTGGGTCATAGAGGAGCTCTATGTGTAATCTTTTGAGGAACCTCCATACTGCTTTCCAAAGTAGCCCAATACATGTTTGAGTTGTATTTTTTAATCATTTTTCAAAGCTTTCAGTTTAGTTTTTACAAATAAACTTTTATTGTTTAATATCTAAGTAATGTTAATGTAAATATTACACCTTTTACAATGGTTTGGAAATAAAAGCTACCTATTCTTGACATATTACTAAACTCATAAACATGGCATATATGATAATACTAAATGGTGATCCACTAACTTCATTTTTTATTATTTGAGGTTTTACTCAAATAGCTATAGTTATACTGCTGTGTTTTAAAGTGAAACTGGGAAGTATGTAAGTCAGTAATTTAGTGTAGTGTATGAGATTTTATGACATTAAGTTAATCAGGTGTGAGATTTCTTTTATTCAGAAAAACTTCCAGATGCATGCAAAAGAAAAATGATGCATTTAATTCACAGTCATTAGTCAATATGTTTCATATAATGGAGAATTGTTTTATCTGATTAATTAATTGAACAAACAAGAGAACTTTATATTGTTCCTTGAATGAATAAATGATTAAATGCACAAACACTTAAAAAAAAGAAAAACCTACAAGAGTAGAAGACTGAGTGAGAAAATTCTAGGTGAAGGAAAGTAGAAAGTTTGAATTCTTGGAGGAAAAGGATAATGTGGAGGAAGGACACAAATCTGGCCACTTTATCCTATTATTTTGTATTCTTTTAATCTATTACTCTTGCCTTGCTTTTAGTAATCAAAAGTAGTCCTATTATATTATCTTTGGTAGTCCCATGACCAATGCATTCTTCTCCATTTGCATCCTTTTTCTAGTATTGCTGAATAGTATTCAGTGAAGACTTTTTTTCACTCCAGAAGTTTTCACTTGCTTACATTATTTTTCTTACTGTTAGCATGTGGAAATGATAGATACTTAACCCATAATAACATTTTGAAAGATTATTTCCCTATAATTTATTGTAGGCAATTTATTTTACCAAGGAAAAAGCAACCTTTTATTTATTTCGGGCTCAGATTTTTTTAATTAGACAGATTTTTTTAAACTAGTATCAAATAGTTTTATAGTCTTGCCTTGTGGAGAAAATAAAATTATATGTTTCATTTCTCCGTTTAACAGAAAAAACATGGACCTATTTGCCAGAAAACAGCCACTAAAAAACGGAAGACCTTTGATTCAAGCAGACAGAGAGCTGAAGGAACTGATATTCCAACAGTAAAACCTCTTAAACCTAGGGTAACTATCTCACTTTTTAAGCAGTATGAACCTTGCTGTTGTAAATATTTTAAAAAATAGATAATTATTCCTTGTGCTAAGATTAAATAATGAGCAAAGTTCTTTTATTTTTTCAGTTTTTAAACTTTCAGAAACTTAGAAATTCTATTTTTATTTTAAGTTTAAATTGCAAAGATAAGACTAAAGTTGTGGCTCAAATTCCATCAATTACTTAGAAGTTTGTTTACCATTGGAGAGTCAGTTGCTTAGCTGTAGACTGGAACTAATTCAAACAAGTATGTTAAATTATTATTTGGCTTTAATTTTTGCTCTATTACTGTCTTTAACCAATAATATAAAATCTTAAATATACGAAAAGGAAAACTTAGCATAAAAGACATTGATGTTGGGCTGGGAAGTTGGCTCAGTGGTAGAGCGCTTGCCTTGCATGCATGAGGCCCTGGGTTCAATTCCTCAGCACCACCTAAGCAAAAAGAAAAAAGCCGGAAGTGGCGCTGTGGCTCAAGTGGTAGAGCACTAGCCTTGAGCTGAAGAGCTGAGGGCCAGCGCCCAGGCCCAGAGTTCAGGCCCCATGACCGGACCAAAAAAAAAAAAAAAAAAGACATTGATGTTTTCTGGAGAAGAGTTTAATCAATTGTTTGGTTACTGTACTGTAGTTGTTTTCTTTTTGTTGTTGTTACTATTAGAAGTAAAGCAGTGAACTTCTTTGATAACCTGTCCGTCTATTTTTATAAATAAATCATTTAAATACTTCATAAGATACAATTTTAAAGAGTCATTTAGTGAAATGGTCAAAGCTAAGTTTTTAAGCAAATCTTTAATCTTACTAATAAAATTATTTAGTAAAATCCTTAAGTGAGTTATGACACATTAAACCTTAACAGTTTTAGATGATTTGAACATTGCCGGTGACTATTGCTTATAATCCAAGGTATTCCAAGGACAGAGATTGGGACTTGCCACCCTGGGACAAAAACTCAAGACCCTGTTGGGAAAAATAAAACCAAAACAGTGTAGGCACCTGGCTCAAGTGATAGAGGTTCTGTCTAGCAAGTACCATGCCACTAAGTCAAACCCCAGAACTGCCATAAAATGTACAAACAGGACTGAAGTAGCAGAAGCCAAAAGAGGAAATGGAAAAAGAAGGAACAGAAAATTGAGCAGGCCAAGTAGCAGAGACTCATAGAAACCTTCCTGATGATGAGAGGCCCAATCTAAAATTTCATATCCTTTGTTAAAGTGGTTGTGGAACTGAGAGCAAGTAGAGCTAGCCATAGTACCTGGTTAATCTTCTAAAGAAGTAGAAGAGGCAAGCACATATCCCACCGGAAGGCCTTATTTGCATAAAGTAGTCTGATCTAGTCCAACAAAGAAGAGATGCATATAACCTCTGAGCCTCTCTCCCCAAACATTTTTTGCAAGTAACTGTCTCAGGAAAATCTAAGTCATTCAGAAGTGAATGATAAGAAAACTTGTTATGTCACATTGATACAAAAATGTACTATGAAGAAAAAATAGAAAAGAGCAGCAATACTTGCCAGTAGGTGAGTAATACTTGGTAAGAAATAAATGAATAATGTGATCATAGATTTAGCTATAAAAGAAGAAACTTTTTAAGAATTTTGCTTTTATAGCCATGAACTGTAGGTCTGTCATTTTTCTTCTCATAACATTTTGTTGCTCCCATAAATCTAGTTGGAGAATGCCTTGTTTTCATTTTCTGAAAGAGTTTTGTGCGGGGGAGGGAAGGTTTTTAAAGTGAATTTTTTAAAGTGAATATGAGACTTTCTCTCTGATATTTGTTTTGGGGTGTGTGTGTGTGTGTGTGTGTGTGTGTGTGTGTGTGTGTGTGTGTGTGTGTGTGTGTGTGTGTGTGTGTGTGTGTGTGTGTGTGTGTGTGTGTGTGTGTGTGTGTGTGTGTGTGTGTGTGTGTGTGTGTGTGTATTGGTGTTTGTGTTTTGCAGGATACTGCTAATTTGAGCTTATCATATTTATTAGCAACAAGTTTCCTTATAGTAACTTATTTTATTTATTTTTCTATGTAACCACTTGATTGTGTTTTCATACTTCGGTAAATTTTTATCACATTTTCTTTAGTTTTGACTTGGCATTTTAAAGGAACCGTGTTTTGACTTTGTTGATCGATGTAAAGACTGGAGACACACTAAGAACAGTTGAATAGTTCAATAATATGATAAAACAATACATTTTGTGGTATATGAACCAGCATCATATTTAATGTAAATAGAATTACCATGTTATATAAATATTCTCTTCTATTTTCTGCAAAGGATATGGAGTTAAATGGCTGTGACTTTACTTGGTTACCCATTTTAAAAAGCAAAACTTAGTTGGGTTCATATGACATGTGATATACTTACAAGATATAGAATGTAATTACAAATAATAGAAGATTTAAAGTTTTGAAAGTGAATCCATGAAAGTTCAAGAAGGAAATATGGGAAATTTTTATTTTCTCATCATATAAATTTAGGCCCAGATAGCTACCTATAAATTCAGAGACCATAAAAGAAAGTAAATGAAGTTTTAAAGTAATTGTATCAAAGAAGAAGAACCTGTAAGGTTGTTGAAGGAACAGAGGGAATACTGTACTATAAAAAAGTTATTTGAAGCCGGGAGCCTGTGGCTCATGCCTGTAATTCTAGCTACTCAGGAGGCTGAGATCTGAGAAATCATGGTTCAAAACCCAGACAGGGCAGAAAAGTCTATGAGACTCTGATCTCAAATAAACCACCAGAAAACTGGAAGTGACCCTGTGACTCAAGTGGTAGAGCACCTGCCTTGAGCTCAAGAGCTCAGGGACAGCGCCTAGGCCCATAGTTCAAGCGCCATGACTGACAAAAACAAAAAGTTATTTGAAAATTGTGTCATTTTAGAGACCAAATTCACAAAATGGGCAGTAAAAAATGATTCATAGTGATGTGAAATGCTATTTGTTAAGTCACACTCATTATAAGAAAAAGCAGCTAGTTAGGTTCACAGAGAAAGGATAATTATTTTCCATTTTTTTGTCAGTTAAAAGCACAAAGTTTGGTAATTTTATTAGTGACGTGATATGGAAAGGTGAGAAGGACCCTCTTAGTGTAGCCACAATGTAACACTTATAGAAGACAATTAGGCAGTATCATTCATAATTAGAATTATAGTTTGAAAGTTCCATACAATAAAATTGCACAAAATTTTTAAAAAATTTAATTTAGCGATGTCATTTACAGATTCTTGTTAAAGAATCTGTGGAAGCAATATAGCACTACCTCAAGTTACTATTCAGTTTATTAAAAATATATTTTAAAACTTTTTTTTCTTTATTTATAGCCAGAACCACCAAAGAAACCATCTAACTGGAGAAGAAAACATGAAGAATTTATTGCCACCATAAGAGCTGCTAAAGGCCTTGATCAGGCACTTAAAGAGGGTGGCAAACTCCCTCCTCCTCCTCCACCTTCTTATGATCCTGGTATATTATTTGACAGAAAATGATAGAATTCCTATACATTTAAGGCATCTTAAAATTCATTCTATTATAATGAGCCTAATTACACATGCACTTTAAGTGCTTTGGTGTAAAATGTTAGTAATAGTCCAGGCTTCAAATCATTAAGAACATAGAAATGTATTGTCTCTTTGTCACAATCCTTTTACTTAAATGTAAATCATTACATCATTTTAAAATTATAATTACCATTGAATGTTAAAATTTGAGGAAATATAGTCACTCAGTTGAATTCTGATAGTTACATTGTTACCTACCAAGTTAACAACATTAAAATTGAATTAACATTCTATACTTTCGTTTATTTCCCAGTGCCAGAATGATGTTTAACAAATGTTGATGTGATCATTTTTAATATTTTATTGAAAAGCTTACCAGCTAATAGAAGGCCGCATAGTAAATATTTTAGTGTTGACATTCCATAAAATCCCTGTTGGAACTGACAACATTTTCATTGTTGCAATATGTCATATGTAAATGAATGGATATGATTATGTTTCAATAAAACTTTTTACCAAACTCAGGCAACGCCTGACATAGATCACAAGACATATAGTTGGCCAGCAGTATTATTAGTTAATTTCAATTTTTTAAGTGTTGTTTCTGGGATAATCCAGCTGAGTTTAGATCTTTTTCAAACTCCACTTGTGGTTTTTTCCATATAGTTCTTTGCTTTGGCAATATTAGGAATTACACGTTGTAATGCATACAGTTAACATTTTTCAGGTATTCATAAGTTTTTGAGAGTGACAGTTTTTCAGGATAATTAGGGCTTTACAAATTTTTTAATCTTTTAAAGACAAAAACAACTTTGTTATTTTGTTTTAAGACTTCTCAATTAGTAAGCAGAACAAACTTCTGAGCTTCAAAACTTATTCATATAAATTTAAAGTGCATTCTCCCTATCCAGAAGTAAACTTGTTGAAATAAATGGAGATTTTTCTTTTAACAATTGCTGAATTTGTTTTCTTATTCCCACTGTCCCATGTAGTTGTTCTTTTATAATGCTAAAAAAATTGGGTTCTGTGTTAAATATAAAGTTTAATTTTAAAACAAATTTAGAAAATATTTCAAGTTACAAACATCTTTTAAACTTGAGTTTCTTATGTTATTGAAGTTGTTTATCAGTACCAAGTTTTGGGAACTCTGAGAGAAAATAAGAGTGTTAAAAGTCCATTAATCTATTTCTCTAATTGAAATGAAATATATAGATGTACTCATATTTCAAATTGTGTTTTAATGTGTTATTACTATTTACTATAATATGTGTGCCTATAGTAAAAATATCATACTATAGAGGTAAAAACAAAATTATAATTTTCTTCTTATTCTTTTTACTGAGTATATGTCTTTTAATTATTTTCCTCAGAATTGATTTAATACTAGCAGAAAGCTAGGATTGTTTAATTGGACTTTTTCTTTAAAGTCTATACTAACCTTAGATAAGTCAAGCTAAATGTTAGACTATTTTTGATTATCAGATGTTATTATTTATATTAGGTATCTTAAGTTACTCTTCTTAGAAACCAGTGATACTTTATATCTATTTCAGGTGTTCTGTTATTAATTTATTCCTGTTTGGGTCTGTTTTAGATTATATTCAGTGTCCATATTGCCAGAGGAGATTCAATGAAAATGCAGCTGATAGACACATAAATTTCTGTAAAGAGCAGGCAGCACGTATTAGTAATAAGGGCAAATATTCTACTGATACCAAAGGCAAACCAGCTTCTCGGGCACAGGTGAAATACTCAACTTAAATCATTTCTACAAATCAATGAGAAAATGTCACTGTCATATATATATTTGTATGTTTATAGTGTCTTGATTTACAAGCTTTTATACTTTTCTCATCTGCTAAAGTAGATACATTAATGCTAAAAAAGTTAATGACTGATTGAGAAAAATTACTTAAATTAATCCACTTAAAATGTACTGGAATAAGCAGGAACTTTGTTGCACTAGCGTTAGTTTAACTAAATCGTAGAAATCTTCATGTTTTCTTTTTGTTTTTTTTTCTTTATGTTTTTAAATTTTATTTTATTGTAAAGATATGTACATACAGGTTACAGTTACATGAGTAAGGCAGTGAGTACATTACTTGTTGGGCATTGTTCCTCCTTCCTTTGTTCTCCCACTATCCCTTTTCTTCCCCACCTCCCACACTTTCCTCATTCCCCCCTCTTTCCTCCCCAGCCTGCAGTTGTAAAGTTCATTTCCAATATACTCTCTTGTGGATATCATTGTTGCAATAGGTCATACTGTGTCATTGTTTCAGCATTTTGTTATTCCACTTTCTCTTCCCAGATTAGACAAATGTATATACAAGTTGCAGGGTACCAAAATCAAGTACAGTGACAACAGGGGATATACCATAGGGGGGAGAACATACAAAGGGAACAAAAACAAAAACAAAAATCACATAGTACATTTAAAACAATAACAGGAAAGACCTCTTGTGTCCATATCTTGGGGTTTATTTCACTTAGCATCATCTAATTTGATCATATGAACATAGCTTTTGAGCTTTTTCTGCTCATCTGATAAAATTATATATGTATACTAATTATTGCAAATGAGGGAGACCATGGAATCTAAATTTCTTTGGGACTGGTTTACTTCACTTAAAATGATATTTTGCCCAAGTCTTTCCATTTCCTAATAAATGGGGCAGTGTCATTCTTTCTGATGGAAGCATAAAATTCCATTATATATATGTGTGTATATATATGTATATATATATGTGTATATACATACACATATATGTGTATAAACATATATATACACACATATATCACAATCTTCATGTTATAATTATTCTGTTTAAAATATTTTCTGATTTGTTATCCTTTTCATTTCATAGGGAATAATTTACTTCTAAAGAGTTGAGGGGGTTCTAGGTATTTCATTGTTTATAATTCACTTGTCTGAGAACCTACTGGACAAAATTTCTACCTTTTAAGTTTTTTATTGCTTATCATATGGTGTTTGTTTTTGAATTTTACATGCTATCTGGAAAAAAGTTTGTGTTCTGCAGTTATTTGGTGCCAAATTTATAAACTCAGGTCAAGGTGTCTGGTACTAGCTAACTTTTCTTCTTGTTAACCCATCAGTTATTGTAAAGTTAGGTGTTTAAATCTTCAGCTGTGATTGTGGCCTTTTCTGTACATTTAGTTTTTTCACTTTTACATCAAATAATTTGATTTTTCTGTTTCTCTTCATATATATAATACATATTATGTATTCATACTTTATAATTTTATAATTTCTATTTCATAAATATAAAATATAAATATGATGCTTAAATTTATATTTAAATTTCATAAATAGAAAGTCTAAAAATAATGCAATATTTATATTTGCATTATATATAATACTTTTTTCTCATTATCCTTTTCTGTATGTGGCCACATTCCTTTTATAAGAATATAACAATTTCAACTTAGGCTATTCTCTATTCCTTATACATTTTTGCATAATTTGGAGTCCAGCTTGTACTTGTGTCTTATTTTTATTTCTTAAATATAATTTGACTGCCATTACCTATTCTCTTTAGTGTTTAGCCCCTTATATTTAGAGTATTTCTTTTTTTATGTGTGTGCCATAATAAGGCTTGAACTCAAGACCTGGGTACTCTAAGCTTTTTATGTTCAAGGCTCTACCTGTGCCACAGTGCCACTTCCAGCTTTTTTGGTAGTTTTATTGGAGATAAGTATTTCAGGCATTCATTTCCAGGTTGGTTTTGAAATGCCATCATCAGATCTTAGGTTTCTAAGTAGGTAGGATTAAAGGTGTGAGCCACCGGCTCCCAGCTACATTTAATGTAAGTTTTGATAAATTGTTTAGGTCTGCTATGCTCAATTTTTCAGCTTGTCAAATCCATATGTATAATTTTTTATTCTTGCACTATTTCTTTCTCTTGTTTTAATGAAAAATATTTTTTATTCTCTTTTAACATTTTTGTTATACTAGGCATAACATATATCTTTGATTTATTCATTTTATGGCTATTTCTATTTACCTCTCATTGTCCTTAGTGCTAATACATGTGTAACTCTACATACACCAGAATACACATCAAGCGTATTGATGTCTGTTATCATGTAGTCTTTGTATTATTGCTTTACATATCATTTTTAAAGAATTGGGGAAGTTAATTTATTAGCACATCTATATATTGATGTATACATATACTTTAAGTTTGTACTGATGTATTCATTATTCTAGTTTGATTCTTTCTTGCAATTCTTCCATGGCCCTTTGGGCTGAAGAAGTTTCTTGAGTTAATACAGCTATGCTGGCAGTGTTCTATGTCTGGTTTTCTAAAAATGCCTATATTTTGTCTTCATTTTTTTTGTTAAGATCCTCTTTTCTGTTGACTTACTGTTATCATGTTTATTTTTATAAGCTTTTTGGACATAGTTATAGTAACTAGTTCTCTGTTATTGTCAGATTTGTCTTTTCTTTAAAAGTAATATAATCATTATTTTGTAGTATCTCTCTGGTAATTGTAGTATTAGGTTATCTTGTATGTTCCTGCTGCCATTTTTTCCCTTCATTCTTAGTTTCTTAAGTACTTACTTCCATGACTATTATAAATTATTGCTATTCCCCTAAAAAAATACAAGCTGGGCACCGGTGGCTCATGCCTGTAATCCTAGCTATTCAGGAGGCTGAGATAGCAAGATCATGGTTCAAAGCCAGCCTGGGAAGGAAAAATCTGTGAGACTCTTATCTCCAATTAACCACTAGAAAACTTAAAGTGGCACAGTGGCTCAAGTGGTAGAGTGCCCAACTTGACCTGAAATGCTCAGAGACAGTGCCCAGGCCTAGAGTTTAAGCCCCATGACTGACAAAAAAGAAAAAAAAAATACTTACAATGTGTTTACTCAGGTGAAGTGCCTTCTCCCAGAGAAGTGTTTAACTTCCACGTATCTAAGAGTACTATCAATCTAGACACATTTTAATTTAAATTAATGGTTTTAGTTTGCACTAGAGCAAATCCACATACTGACCAGATGATTATAATCTCAAATGGGATTATCCCAACAATATCTTTTCTTCTAAGCAAACACTCAATGCTACAAAAATGTTATTTTATATACGTGTTATATTTTTAATACATTCTTGGGCATTTTTAGTTTTTTTGTTAGTGAATTAGCCAAATAGTCCATTCAACCATTTTGTCAGAAATACACTTTTTTCAGTTTCAGTAATTTTTTTATGAATGTAATAATTTTACTTTTATTTTTCCATTTGTCAGTAGTATTAAGCATAGTCTTTAGTATTGACCATATTATTAACCAAAGTATTACATGCTTTTATAATGTATACCCATTCTTCTCCATAGTTCTCTTCTTATGAAAGTAAAATTCTATACCTGGAGAATGTGAGCTTGTCAGTTACTAGTTTGTAATTCATAATAAAAAAAATGATACTGATTTTTTTTTTTATTTTTGTTATTTCAGTATAAGCCTCCTGCACTTAAAAAGTCAAATTCTCCTGGAACCTTATCATCAGGATCATCGCGATTACCACAACCAAGTAGCACTAGCAAAACTGTTGTAGGTAATAAAATCCACAAAATAGGTGTTTTGGTTCCTTTTTAACTATATTGGTAGAAAAGGAAATGAAAACAATAGTCTATTTTGTTCCATTAAATTAGTTAGGTTACTAATTATGTAGAGATATAGATTGTTATTATTTCTAGATAGAAATGAATATTCAATATTTTCTATTTTTAGGTATTTTTTTCTTTAATGCCCTTCCTTGATATTTTTACTGACATACTATCTGTTAAGAATATTCAAACAAATTATTTCATCATTCTTTGTCTATAATATTTTCCTTCATTCCTACCTTGGTTTCTCATTTTTGAACTTGAAAGCTGTTACCAATAGATATTTAGTGGCACTATGACTATATTGACCACTAAAATAGACCTTGTATGTAAATCATAAGATAGAAATTAGCATATCAATAAGCATCCTGTTCCCTTGTAACTTTTGTTTTAAAGAAAACTTTTTTATTTGTTAATTTTTGAACATTACTAAATCACTGTTTCTCATGTCAAGTATTCTGCTTTATGAGATTTCATTTATTATTTTTAAAGCTGTTGCCTTTTTTATTGTAAGGTGTATCTTCAGGTAAAGTGTCATCAGTTAACAACTCTTTGGGAAACAAACTTCAGACCCTATCTCCTTCACATAAAGCAATAGCAGCCCCTCAGGCAGGGTAAGTCTACATTGAATAATTTATTAATGGTACATATTTGAATGATGCATTTTATTTTCTCTGGCCTTTTCATGAATATTTTTATCTAAGTTCATTTTTTTTTACATAATGCTATTCAAAGGCACCCTAATTCCTGTTGAGAGAATTTTAATAGAGTTATTTTAAAGAAACACTCTGGCCAAAAGTTAGTTCCTATAACCCTAGATATTCAGAAGGCTGAGATCTCAGTTCAAAGCCATCTTGGGCAGAAAAATCTGTGAATCCCTTATCTCCATTTAGCCAATCAAAAAAAAGTCAAAAGTAGGTCTGTGGCCCAAGTGGAGGAGAGCACTAGCCCTAACCACAAAAGTTCAGGGATAGCATGTAGGTCCTGAGTTTGAGCCCTAGGACTGCCTCCCCCTCAAAAGAAAAAAATATGGTGGCTTTTATCAAGAACCATAAACTATTCATAATTTGGTTGAATCATTTTTTTGATTGAGAATCTAAGGAAATAACTTGAAATATTCAAGATTTTTATGATAACCATAATTTATTAAGCTCTCTATCAGTTATTGTACTGGGCATGTTGCTTAAACTTGCTCCATAATTATAAAATAACATTCAGAGAAGCAAAGTGATTTATTCAAGGCCACATAATTCTTTTGTGTGTGTGTGTGTGTGTGTAATAAAAATACATAGGGGTTACAGTTACATGAGCAAGGTAATGAGTACATTTCATTGTTACCCCCTCCTTTGTTTTTCCCCTACCATCCCTTTCCTCCCCAACTTCCCCTCCCTCCCCCCATCCTCCCCAAGTTGTCAAGTTCATTTTTGCCATGGTCTCTTGTACATCTCATTGTTACAACAAAATTCAGCATTTTGTTATTTCCCTTCCCCTCCCCAAATTAGAAAAATGCATATATAAGATGTAGGGCACCAGAATCAAATACAGTGAAAACAGGAAAGAACATACAAAAGAAACAAAAAAAATTACATAGTACATTATAAATACATTAAAAACAACAGCAAGAAAGATAAAACCACTCAAGGCCACATAATTCTTAAGAGAAGCAATAGGCTAAGTAAGATCTATTTGAGTCTAAAAATTTTATGCATACTTTTGTTATAATAAGATCAAATACCTCATTTAATATAGTAAATTATGAAAATAGACAAGGCATATTTTACCACTGTAAAATATAAATAAATTTTAATAAAGATGATTTTGCTCTAGAAAGAGAAAAATATAAAGCTCCACATGGAATTTTATATACTAACTGCATACTATAAACATACTATATACACATACTACTTAGTATATACACTTTAATAATGTATATTTTTTATTAAATAGGTTAGATATTAAATAATGCACTGTATTTTCCCACAATAAAATGCATTATTTTAATACTTTGTTCTACAAGCACAGTTACAGTGAACTCCTTTTAGTTCTTATTTCCTATGTGGTTTGTATTGGTAAACAAAAGGTAGCTAATCTTGTTGGGCGCTTCACTCAGCTCTTCAGCTCAAGGCTAGCGCTCTACTGCTTGAGCCACAGCGCCACTTCAGGTTTTCTAGTAGTTTTATTGGAGATAAGAGTCTCACGAACTTTCCTGCTCAGGCTGGTTTTGAACTGTGATCCTCAGAAGTTTTTACTTCTTGACTTTTTTCTTCTCTATTTAGTTGGCTCATTGATGAGTTATGGGAATTATACATATAGCATTTAATTTTATAATCTTTTTTCCCCCAAGTTAAAGAGAATTGCCCTCTGTTTTATAGTTTGTAGTGTTGTTAATTTACAGGTGATAATAAATTACAAAGTAATACTTTTCAGCACTACTGTCACACTGATAGTTTCATCAGTTGACAATAGTAAGTTGTACTGATAACACTAGTTTTAAGTAGGACATGTGATCCTGGATGGTATCATGAAAAAAGGGAGCATACTGGTTTTAGAATTTTGAAAACTAGCTTCATGTATTCTGTGTCATATGTGTCTGGGGATCTATCTGTGTTTCAACTTTACAAAGTTCTTTGACTCTGCTTAGACCTCTACAAGTGATACAAGAGAATACAGAGATGGGGCTAGGAAGGTGGCTCAGTGGTAGAGTGCTTACCTTGCATGCATGAAGTCCTGGGTTTACTTCCTCAGCACCCCATAAGCAGAAAAAGCCAGAAGCGGTACTGTGGCTCAAGTGGTAGAGTGCCAGCCTTGAGCTGATGAGCTAAGGGATAGCGCTCAGGTCTAGTATCCAGGCTCAAGTGGTAGAGTGCTAGCCTTGAGCTGAAGAGCTGAGGGATAGGCCCCACGACTGGCCAAAAAAAAGAGAGAGAGAGAGAGAATACAGAGACCGTTGAACATATACTTTTGTGAGTTGTTATATAATTATAACTCAGTCATTTATCTGTTCATATTCTGATTATTCTATATAAGATATTTCTAACTACTTTCTAAAGAAAGTAATGTTTGCTTCTGGTAAATATGATCACTATATTAACTAGAATTATTAGAGCCATTCTTAACTGTCTATTTAAGGCATATATTGTTCCTGTCTTACTGAAATAAAAATGAAACTTGTTGAAATAGTTTAGGAAGGAGAAAGGACATTGATAGATGGGATGAGATTTGATTGAAATACATGCTATATACCATGTAAAATACATGGTAGAAATACCCCAATGAAATCTTTCCTTTCCCATAGTATAACTAACATGCGCTAATAAAGAAGAAAGCAGGACTGGGAAGTTGGCTTAGTGGTAGAGTGCTTGCCTCGCATACATGAAGCCCTGGGTTTGATTCCTCAACACCACATAAGCAGAAAAAAGCTGGAGGTGGCACTGTTTCTCAAGTGGTAGGGCACTAGCCTTGAGCTGTGAGGGACAGCACCTAGCCCCTGAGTTCAGTCCCCATGGCTGACGAAGAAGGAGAAGAATTGTTGAATTAATAATTTGTTTGTTTCCATTGATAGACTATACTAAGATCCATGACAGAGACTAGAGTGCCTGACACATGAATATATTGTGAACTTTTAGCAAATAGAAAAATGATCTAGTACATTTCTCAAATTTATCCTGTTACCAAACCATTGTGGTCCTGCTGGAAGTAGAAGAACATTTGAAGTTTGTGTGGCAACCATTTTTTTCATTTACACAATTGATTCAGGTCTTCAGTTTGGTCCATTTTAATCAGGGACACTGCTGATCTGTAATAATTAATCTGTATTGGAGTCATGACACAGGAAAAGTAATCTTAGTATTTGGATACTGTCTCATATTTTGGTAATTAAATTGTAGACAATCAGTGAGCCAAAGTTAGTAGACTTCTTTTAAGAGGAAAACACACCCAAAGGAGAAATTTCCCCTTATTATAAAAGATAATATTCTTTAATTGTGGGAAAAAATTGTAAACTGTGAAAAAACTAAACTATTAAATATTACCACATTTGAAGTATGTCAAAATTCACACACTTGTGTCTTGAGAACTTTCTTTTCATAGTTACAAATTTAATATATATCTCAAATCATAGATTTCAATAGCTAAAAGGTCACCTTTCAGATTTGCGTTTCTTCCCTTAATGTGAAAAAAGTGTTTACTTTGAAGATGAACCGTAGCCAATGAGTTGAAATGAATAAAAATTATTGAAGATGTTTGTATCAGGGAGCTAACTTTGTCATAGGACTGAGATACTAAGTTATCTGTGATGGGTTAATACAATCAAAAGTAGATATCTGACACATTTCAACATTTTGAATATGTCAGAGTGATACAACTACAAAGGTTCACAAGATACACTTGGTAAATGTTCTCTCCATGATGATTTTGTGAATAATCTTTTAAGTATATAGTTTTACTCTGCTTGATACAGTCTAATTTTTAGCAGATCAGAGTATGTATGACGTATTTCCTAAGATAACTCATTCTTGATAACTCTCATAGATTAATCTGTTTCTATATATTTTTTTTTTTTGTCAGTCATGGGGCTTGAATTTATCACTTGTGTGCTGACATTGAGCTTTTGTGTTTTTGTGCTCAAGGAGACCATTACCACTCTACCACTTTAAGCCATGCTCCACTTCGTAGTCTGTTTCAAATCAGGAATAGGTTGATAGCATTGCCAAATCATTCTTCTTTTCTTTTTTATTGTGAGAATACCCTACAGAGGAGTTAAAATTACATGGGCAAGATAACGAGTACATTTCTTATCAAGCATTGTTGGTTCCTCTTTGTTTCCCCTTCCTATCCCTTCCCAAATAATTCAGCAATGACTATTTTAAAATCTGTGAAAGTATTGTATAAAATTTTTATTTTTATTGAGATTTATAAGCTTTGTTTTTTTGAGATCTATTAGTTTTGGTTTTGATATATAGCAGCAGATTGTAGCAGAACATGAATTTTAAGTGATTTTAGCCCTGGGATAACATTTAACCTAAGAAACATTTGAATTGTGTAGGACTGGAGGTGTGGCCCAGCATTCCAGCCTCACATGCAGGAGGCCTTCAATTGAAATTTCAGTATTATCATCACAAAAAAGAAAAATCAAACATTTGAATTGTGTGTATACACAGTAATACATAGCATCATTATACATGCACTTACATTGAATTTCTTTTTTTATTATTTTTATTTTTTATTAAAGTGAACTTACTGTACAGAGGGGTTACAATTACATGGGCAAGATAATGAATACATTTCTTATCAAGCATTGCAGCCTCCTCCTTTGCTTACATTGAATTTCTTAACCCAACTTTGAAGTACAGATTATAGTTGGAACCTGCATCTCAATATGTTTCTAAAATCTTTAAATATAGGTAATGCTCCTGTAATAATGCATACATTTCCATTAGATCCTTAAGATCTTTATAAGAGTATACATACTTCCTTTCACAAAATGAACTTTGTTGATTCACATGTAGTAGGGCTGAAGTACTTTTTGCAATAGTAAAAGAAAAATCTGTTTTAAAATTTTAATTCTTTGCTTAAATTTTTGTTTTGTTTGTGATGTTGGAGATCAAATACAGGTGTAGGCAAAAATTTTCTTAATTTTAGTCTTTTATACCTTATTCACAAAGCACATAGTCTTTCAAAGATAACCACTATTTATGAAAAATAATGCTAATTCAAAGAAAAACCCTAGTAATTAAAATTACAAATAGATGATTTTTTTTCAGTAAGTTTTTTACAAAGTAAAAGGAAATTAAAACCTTTTAGTCCCAGACATTGTAGAAATCATGTTTGATGAATGTTTAATGAAGGCAATTTTAAATATTTAATCACTGTGTATGTGCCATCTCCGGCTGAATAACTAATCCTAATAGTCATAAGAAATAATTAGGAATTAATAACATTTCTTCACTTACAACATAATGCCTGTTAATGTAGAGGCAACTGAAATAACAGTATGTATAATCTAGGAACATGAACAAACTCTTTTGGACACTAACTTCCATAAAAAACAAGTATCAGTTCTCTATCACTATGTTAAAATTAACACAGTGTTTGACACATAGGAGGTGCTCAAGATTTATTGAGTTACTGAATGAGTAGGAAAAAAAGAATGAGCAAATATCCCTTTAAAATAATGTGTTTTAATGGTAAGCAATGATATAGTATTGAATAGTCATTTACGACACTTCTGTTCCTTAATTTCCTCTGTTCCCTGGTAATGGTTATATATGGTTCACTGATTTGGTTGATAGAGAACAAGTACTACTCTGTTGCACAATGGATAGCTCATTGAACTTCTAGACAGACGGAGAACAAAAACTATACTGCATACCTGTAGTTTGTCCTGGTACCTTCTAGCTATAGCTGTGTAAAACAAAATTCACCTGGGGGCTGGGAAGGTGGCTCATTGGTACAGTGCTTGCTTTGCATGCAGGAGGCCCCAGGTTCAATTACTTAGCACCACATAAGCAGAAAAAGCCGGAAGTGGCGCTATGGCTCAAGACCACTAGCCTTGAGCTGAAGAGCTGAGGGACAGCACCCAGGCCCAGAGTTCAGGCCCCATGACAGACCAAAAAAAAAAAAAAAAAAATCACATGGCATAATTATTTAACATTGCCCATGTGATTTCACATTGATATTCACATTTTTTTCACATGGGTAATAATTTTTCTTACATAAGTTTCATGAATTCACTCTATTATACAGGCATCATAAAGATATAAACATTATTCATTCAATTCTTATTTTATATTTAGAATTTAAAAATTCTCCAGCAGACAGAGTAACAGAGAGAAAAAAAATGACAAAGGTTCTATAGCATTTGTTTAGATCTTCATCACAATTGAAGAGTGGCCTGAAGTTAGAATTTACAGATGTAATAATAGCCCTTATATGAATTCTAAGAATTCTTTTTTTATTTCTTACTCTGTCAGTCAGTAATTAAGGAATATGGGTAGATTTCTGAAGAATCAGAATGTCTTTTTCTAAACAAGAAAAGAAATCTTTATGTAATGAAACAAGCAGTAGCAATCTCCTTATGGGTACACCTTTATATATTTTAATAGTAAGATGGACAAGTTAGGCCCTCCACTTCGAACTGGAAGACATGTGCAAAGGTTGTATGACAGTGATACAAAGTCAAACAGTGCCTTCAAAAGACATGAGTTATTACCCATTTACAAGTAAGTATTTGTAACTCAGCTTGGTTTATCTTTTCAAGTACTTTCTTAAAGGCTTTATATCATAGAATACTGTTAACTTTTAGCGTCTTATACTTAAGTAAAAATCTTAGCTTACTCATCTTTAAGCCCAAAATTGTTAAGTAACCTTCCAGGACTAAGTATTTTTTTATTGTTGAACATTTTTGTTTTAATACTTTCTTAGATAATTTTATTCCATTAAACTAATGGTTTTAATACCATCCTTCAATGTTTTTATGAAGGATCTTTTTTATGTGTAATAGTTTTGAAAACAAAAAGAGGAAAATTATCTGTAATATTACTAAATAATCTGCTCACCACACACAAGATGAATTATCATGGCCAGAAAAAGAAAGATTTTTAGAAAGCACTTAATTAAGGAATTTTTAGGCTTTTTGTGAGATTTATAAATTCCACTTGAAAACAGGGTAAAAATATAGTGGTCCCAGAGACAATCTAGTTTTCTCTGGCCTAGGTGACCAAGCACTGAGTATGACAACATTCATTTTTGAAACTCTCCCATGAGTCTTCACAGTTTAAAATAACAAGTTGAACTCGTACTAAATTCGAAAAAAAAATAGTTACTTTTTAAAAATATTATGATCTCTATATGAAATACATTAACAAATGTAACTATATGCAGTAACATAATGGGAAGTCTTTAATGTACAAGAAGATACATATACATGCATCTATATCTGTCCATACACACATGCGCGCACACTCACAGACACTGGGCTATTTTTGTCTTGAAACTACTACTATTGACTTAACCTTCTGAAACAGATATCAGAGAATACCATAATTAAGCCTCCCTTTTATTATTTGATCTATAGCATGCACATTCCAGATATGGAAAAGGGTGGGTGACACTTTTCAGACTCTGTCTAGAAAGTAAAATGTTTTTCTTATTTTTATTTTTTTATTATCTTTAAATAGTTATACAAAAGAGTTTCAATTCAACATATCAATTCATGACTACTTGCATCTTAATCAGTGCCTCCCCTTACAGAAAATGTTTTAAGAATTGAGTCTTCCCAATCTCTTCAGAATGGTTCTTGACAGCTTCTACTACATAGCAGATGTTACTAAAAGCAAATAATAGACCTTTAATATCACATTTTATGTGAATAACTGTTTTTCACTAATCATAATCATGTTAAACGGCTTTATGTGATTGTGATATGGTAAAAGTAGTAGTCATGTGTATTCATTGTTATTTATATCATCTATGTGAAACTGGTACAATTTCTCTAACAGGATGATTTAAAACTTACAAGAAAAGGAGGAAAACATATTTCCTACTTAAATGCCATTGTATGACTGATTTTCTTTTAGAACTTAAACTCTAAGGGCTAGGAAGGTGGCTCAGTGGTAGAGCGCTTGCCTTGCATGCATGAGGCCCTGGGTTTGATTCCCCAGCACTACATAAGCAAAAAGAAAAAAACCCGGAAGTGCCGCTGTGGCTCAAGTGGTAGAGCACTAGCCTTGAGCTGAAGAGCTGAGGGACAGCGCCCAGGCCAAGAGTTCAGGCCCCGCAACTGGACCCCTCCCCCCCAAAAAAAAGAAGAACTTAAACTCTAAGAAATATGCTATTCTACTACATTTTATATAATCTTATGATAAAAAAGTAGAATAAAACTTCATGAATGGACTTGAAAAATTATTTGAAGGAGAATAGGACATCCCATCCATACACCAAAGTGATTTTTTGTTGGTAGAACTAACTACTCAAAGCAAACACTCTGAATTGAATATTAAATATGAAATTTAAAGTACATCTCACTTAACTTGAACTTGAAGTACTAATAACTTTGAAATAAAAATATCTCAAGACAAGTTTCTCCAATGTGGGATTGGTAGTGTATATCTAGTATCTGTAGTCCCAGCTAATCTGTAGTCTGTGTTGGAAAGATCAATCTAGGCAGTATATTGAGAACCCATCTTTATTTTCTTATTGTTACTATAAAGGTGATGTACAGAGGGGATACAGTTACATAAGCCAGGTAATGAGTACATTTTTTTCCTCCCATCCCCACCCACCAGTTATATTTCATTTACCACATAGTGTCTAATGAGTACCATTGCTCCATTTGTTCACTCTTTTTCCCTCCATTTGTGTCCTCCTTACCCTCCCAAAGACAGAAAAGACAGAAAACAAAAGCAAAACCAAAAGGGGAAAACAAGCCTCTTTTAAAACCCATCTTAGAAAGTTTAAACTTTGAAATGACTATAATATTATCTAAGATTTGAGAGACAATTACATTATATGCAGTACCTAGAACTATATTAGTCATGTATTTGACATGAACATTTGAAAAAGTCAGTTACTATCTACTTGTATTTTGGAAGTAGTTACTTAAACTTTTAGGAGAGCCTCCTCAACTTTTCATATTAATGGGAAGAATTTCCCATTAATTTCTGAATTTCTGAATCTTGCAGTGTATTAGCTGTCACCTTAGGTAAGTTACTCAAGTGTGTGGGGTTTTTTTGGTCTTATTTATCTCATCTGTAAACTGAAATTATCAATTCTTACCTCTTAGAACTGTGTAGGAAGAAATTCACATGTGCAAAACAATTAGAAAAGTATTTGGTATTTAGTTATCACTGTTATATAAATGGTAGCTTACAGAGCAGCTTAATAGTAGTAACTATTAATAGTAACAATAATAGTAGTAGTATTATCAACGATACTAAATGTTTACAAAAATTTATGTTGCATAAACTTCCTGTATGTGATCATTTTATTAATCAGGGAATTCGGATTCAGAGAAGTTGACTACAATCACAGAGCAGTCAAGTAGCAGTTGGGAGTTGAATCTAAATTCCTATGAATCCCAAATCTTCAAATTCAAGTGCAGTGTCATAAATATTATTTAGCTTTCTAAGTTGCTCTGGTTCCTGAGGTTTCTCTATAGGAATTCAGTGCTGATTCAGCCTAAAGTCTCCCTGATATCAGATAGCCCAGGCTGTCCAGTTAGTGAAATAAATCTTTAAACAAAAATTATGTTAACTTTATAATTACTTTTTCTAAGAATTTTCATAACTTATTAGCCTCCAAAGTGGTAGGTAATATTTCTTTATGACCACATCCCATATACCTAGGATGGCAATAACACAATACAACTGTGTTTTGGGGACTTCTAACTATAAGACCTTTGAAAAAATGATTTAACTTATGAATTTAATGTGAAACGTGTAAATATTTTAATTGACATATTTATTATCAGAGTATTATTAGTAAATGCAAGCTGCTTTGGTTGACCTTCAGTATAAATGTCTACCACTTGTTTTCAGATTTAAAAGAGTTTGGATTTTAATCTTTTGTACTTCTCTGCAGCCTCTAATTACTTTTTTATTACACAAATAGGTAATTTGAGAAATAATTGATAGTCTTTCATCATGTCTCACCTTCTCTCCTAGAGCTAACATCAAACCTCGAAATTCTACACCACCCAGTTTGGCAAGAAATTCTGTGCTTATGAACAAAAGAAAAGCATATAGTGATAGCTCCGCAATCAGGTATGTTTAGTGCTACCATCCTGAACACCAGAATGAAAAAAAGTTTATTTATTTAGTTTTCCAAGTCTTCTGTGCAAAAATAAGTAATCAGCTAAATTCACAATCTGAATTTTTTTTGTTATCTGACTTAATATGACTAATATGTTATACTACACAAAAGGAATATTGAGGAGTTTTATTTCCCTACAGCTTGTAGTTATGTAGTTATAGCAGCATATTTTAAATGCTTAAAAACATTGTTCAGTAGTGCTACAAAATACTCTAAGGAGTATAATTTATAGTCATTGAACTTTTGGCATTATGTTTAATATTTCTTAACATTGGTATATTCGTATAAGTGCTCATTTCCTGAGATGTGCATGCTGTGGTATTTAAATTTATTTTGAAGTAGTTTTGTATTTATTTGTTTGTTGGTGGTATTCTGGGCCTTTCCCTGCAAAAACGCTACCTCTTGAGCCACATCCCCAGTCGAAGTAATTCTTACATATTTCACTGACAGTAAAGCTGCTATGTTATCCCTTGACACTTGTTCTTGATTAGTGTTATGACTCCTAATTAATTTAATACTTGATTTGTAGTTTATATGAATTTACTGTAATACCTAACAGTTTACCTCTTGTTTCAGAAAATTGTTGTAATTTCACAGTCTATCAGAATAAGAATTATACAAAAGAAGATATATAATTATTTGAATCTCTATAGCTTTTAAGTAGATAGTGGGTTTTCATTGAAAATCCAGTGATACTTGTATCAACTCTAACCTATTTGTATGAAACAATATATCTAGATCCGAGAGCCCTTAGTGTTTTTTAGTTCTACCTTTGTAGAAAAACTATACTATTTTCAATAGTGTTACTTTTATAAGCCTGTGATTTAAAAATTTCCTTCATGGCAATTTTTAAAGTCAATGGCATGTTCTCAGAAGAATAGTGCCCAAGTAGCTGCTTTGCCAATGAAATAATAAAAAAAAAAATAGTTTCTTTAGTAGTCTGAATTTCTTGACTGTCTGGCTTCTGTAATAAAATACTTAGAAGCTCAAATGTTTTATTTAAACTTTACTTTGGTGCGTAGTTCTTCAAGCATTTATTTTACCTTCACTGCTGTGTATTGTTAATAAAGCCTATGCTACTTGGGGATGCAAGGAACTTACTATTTATTTGACTCATACTAATTTAATATAATAAGATCAAAGTAAATAATAAATAATGGAAATATCACTGCATCTCCATAGTACTTTTGGACAAGGAGAGAGAACTAGAACCTGACAACCTCCATCTGTAGCCTGTTTTATATTTCTATCTCTCTCTTTCTCTCTTTCTCTCTCTCTTTTTCTCTTTCTCTCTGTGTCTAGCTTTCCCTCTCTCTCTCCCTCTTTCTCCCTTTTTTACTTTTTCTTTTTTTTTGTGCTGTACCTGTACTTGAACTCAGGCACTGTCTACAAGTCTTTTTGCTCAAGGCTAGTACTTTAGCATTTCAGCCACAGCTCCATTTTCAGATTTTTGGTGGCTAATTGGAGGTAAGAATCTCATGGACTTCCCTGGCTGGGCTGGCTTTGAACTGCAATTTATTGTTTTCAGTGTTAGGGCATGAACTAAGCCTAGGTGCTGCCCCTGAGCTTTTCAACTCTAAGCTAGTGCTCTACCACTTTGAGCCAAAGCTCCACCACCAGTTTTCTGATGGTTAATTGGACATGAGTCTCACTGACTTTCCTTTGGTTTCCAGCTCAGATCCTCCGATCTCAGCTTCCTGAGTAGCTATCATTAGACATGAACCACCAGTGTGCAGTTATGAACCACAATTTTTATATCTTCTCCTAAGTACCTGGGATTACGTGCAAGAGCTATTGGTGCCCAGCTCTAGTCTTTCTTAATAAGATGGTTTTTCAGGAAGGACATTGTAAATTTTAGTAAATGACTATACATTGAACAAGATGGAAAGTCTGACTGCATTTGATCATTGACATTTCTTCTAGTGGGTGCAAATGTAATGTCAGACCAGTTGGAATTATTGTATTTCCAGCAAGTTTTTTTTTTTATTATTTTGTTTTTGTTGGTTTTGGGTTTTTTTTAGGGGGAGGGACAGGAGAAGGAATCTGGTACTAGGGCTTGAACTTGGGTCTTCATGCATTTGTTTGGCTTTTTTGTTCAAGGATAAAAGACTAGCATTACCACTTGAGCTATACATACTCTACTTCTGGCTTCTTTCTGGTTAATTGGAGAAAAGAGTCTCATGGATTTTTCTGCCAAGGCTGGCTTTAAGCCATGATCCTCTCGCCTTAGCCTCCTGAGGAGCTAGGATCACAAGTGTCATCTAGCCACCAGCGTCAGACAGCAGTTTTTTTTTTTAACTAGAAGAATATTAAAAGTGACATTTTAGTTATTTTTATTATGTTATGTCCTTCAGTAGTTCTGTTTAATTAACTACCAATATGAACCTTTTCTCCACCTTCTTCAGGCCAGATGGAGACTATGCATCTTCACTTAATGGTGGAAGTATCAAAAGCACTGAAGGAAATTCATCTGGACACTTACCTAAATTCTGTCATGAATGTGGGACAAAGTACCCTGTAGAATGGGCAAAGTTCTGCTGTGAATGTGGCATTCGAAGAATGATTCTGTGAACAGAATCCCAAAAGAACAAATTCCAGCTTCAGAGCTTTATAATTATTGCTGCTTGGACAGCTAAAGCACTTCCTCTAGTTATTTTGTGCTGAAACTGTTCAAAAACCTTGCTCCCATAATTTTTGAAGCATAATTCTTTGGTTGTACATATGTATATATATGTTGTACATAATAAATACCTGATATCCCAAGCTGTGCAATTCAAGAAAATACTCACTTAGCTATCAGAAAATAGTTCCATCTTATTACCGTGGGTATTATTCATCTTTTGTTGTTAAAGCACATTCACTATACCTCCACAAATACTCTTACCTTTAGCCCTTCAAGCTTTAGGATAATCACAACTTTGAGCAAACAATAGGATAAACATTGTTATTATTGATGCCTGTCTTCAAATAGCAGGATGGGCAACTGTGGATTTTGTAATTGAAGAGAATGTTTTAATTATTATCAGTTGATAAGTCATATTCCTGTTGAACTCTTGACAACTAGTTTTATGAAATACCTTAGGTTTATATTACTCCGAACTTTGTAGATTATTAATTGTATAATTTATGTTTCCTCCATCCTGTAAAAATAATTATGGATTTTTTTCAGAAACACAATACTAAAATTACAATGTATCTTACAACTGAATATTTTTTTCATTTCTGTGTTATTTCCTAGATGTTACTGTTTTCTTTTTCATAATCTAAAGAATAGATTGAACTTCCAACATATTTTACAACATATACACAAAAAAATTGTATTTTCTGTTCAATTCGTTGACTAAAAGAATCGATCATTGTTACTTTCAGTGTAACATAAAGTTGGCTATATGTTTCTTTGATGGCTTGTACTACTGTAGTCAGTAATTCTTTAGTAGTTTATGATCAATCAGACTTGTTAGCTTTATCTTATTATAAAGATACAAGCAAAAATTTTATGATGTGTTTTTCCTAAAAGATTTATGTTATATATTTTCTAACCTCTTGTTTGTGATTGATCACAGTAAGGATCAGTGTAGAAATGTGTTGCTTGGAATTTTATTTCTCTGAAATGTATGTAGTTTGTTTTATTTTGTTAGTTTGGGCAGGAGTTATAAGCCTAGTGGTATAGTTATAATCATTTTACTTATAATTTTCTGCTGTTTTTAAAATCAGTTTGGTTCCTAATTGTTCTGTTCATTCATACTGATAAAATAATGCAGCAACTCAAATAAGTTACAAGGAGTTTAGAAGACTAATGTACATATTAGATTTCCATTTGAAAAACTTCTTTTTATACTAATTATAAATCACATGAAAAGGAACTTTTGTGTGTATATGTGCTGATAATGGGACTTGACTCAGAGACCATCTTCTTCTTGCTTGCTCAGCCCATTTTTCTTGTGTCTGCTGCTCTACTACTGGAGACACTTCTCCAGTCTGGCATTTTGCCAGTTAATTGGAGAGATGGAATCTTACAGTTTTCAGACCTCTTGAGTAGCTAGGATTATAACGAACTTTTCACTCTTGTTTTATCTAGGAATGAACACTATCTTTCAAGCATATATTTAACACTACATAATCTTTTTTTTTTCTGCTCAAAAGAGTGAATAGATACATCAGTTTAAATAAGACAAATTGGCACATGTTTGTTTCTCAGTGAATTTTACAGTAGCAAGTAAATGTTAGTATGTACTACATGGAAATGACTTTGTAAGGAATCAGCAATCCCAGAGCCCAGAGATAATTATAAAAAGTAACATAAATATATTTATGTCTTATGAAACATGACAATGTATTTAAATGCATTTTCTATTACATAATTTACTCTCACATTGATTTGTTGTGCAATAGTTTTTAAACAATCTTCCTATGCATCACCTATTTTCATTTGTATTTATTTGCACAGGTATTTGTCGGTGTGACTGAATTTTTAAAAATGATTGTAAGCTTAAAATGTAAAAGTTGCTTCTAGATTATTCTGAACATTTTTAGCTTGAAAATGTAGGATTATTGTGACTGCTGTTTGTCCCTTATTATGTTTTTTTTTTATTACAGATACCTTCAATTTAAACCAATAAAGACATAAAGCCTAAAAATTCTTGTTATTTATTAACATCTATTAGACAAAGAAATATAGGAACACACTTGAATGTAAATAAGATATTTGAAGTAAAAATTTTCATTTCAGAATGAAAATGTATCTTTACATTTTTTATGCCATCAGGTTTTTACATTTTACTGAATTGTTTTAGTACTTTAAGGTACTCTTAAATGTTTTTCTCCCAGGTTTTTGTTTTAGACATAGAATAATTTTCTTTACACTCAAAATTTAGAAATTGAACATAGTATCATGAAGGTTGATTGGGAGTTTCTAGGTAAGTATTCTGTGATTTAATGGCAAAATCTGTTTACTGTTAACATTAAATCAGGCAATATTTTGAGTTTTTATAAAAAAGCTCTTTATGGTGAAAAACAGACTATACATGTTTCATTTGTACTTGGTTTTGCTTAGGCTAAAGGAGTAAAAGCTGAGAGGATGAAAATGTTATGCACAGATACAAGTTAGTGCAAGTCCTAGGTATTTATTTATTTGCCTCAGATATCTAAATATTTTCTATGGTTAATGTTCTTAGTACATTAATTTTCCAACTGATGATGTTACTGAGTAGAGCCACGATATGATTACCACACATACTATTTTCACTTAGATATATTTCACTTAAGTTTTCAGGATGCTCATTGTTTAAGTTCAGATACACTTAGTTTATGTGTGAATTGTGTTTTGCCACTAGAGGGTGCTTTAGGATAATTTAATATTACTAGCCTTTAAAATAACTAAGTAATTTTATTATTTTAAGTGTCAAAATTATTCTACATAGTTATTTTACCAATACAATTGTATGTTTTTGCTAGCTTACATTGGTTATGCAGAGGAAGATTTCTTTGTTACCTTTCCATACGTTTACAGTGTATTCCAATTTTATCTTAGAATTTTTGGCAACATGCCATTTAAGAGATTAACAAAAGTCATTCTTATGTTGTGATTTTAGTAATTTATATATTGATACTTTAGAAATCTAGTTTAACTCATCTTGGTCACTAGCATGGTGATAACTGATATTAATATTTAATATTTATGTCTCCCAGTGTTTTATTAGCAGAATTGAAGATATATCAATGATATCACTAAGTCATATTACCAAATAACTGAAATATTACTTTAACATGTTATCTAAGTTGCATAACTAATTCTATGGGTTATATTCTTTTTTTAAAAAACTAGATTCCTTCTCAACTTTTTCCACGCCCCCCCCCCCTCCCAATTTATCTAGGCTAACACATGAGGTATCCTCTACTTAAGTAGGAGTCAGTAAATAATAGTCAGTTAGAATAGGAGTCAGGTAGAATAAACTAATGTGTGAAATACTAAAAATTAAAGCTTTATGCTTATAAATCTTGCTGTTCCTTATGTATATATGAAAAAAACTTAGGTTTGGCAATTATAGGTACACCTATTTTGTTATCTTGTTCTTTTAATAGTTCCATAGATTAGAATTTGGTCAAAATATGGGCTGACATGTTTTACAACAAAATTTAGAAATAGAGTTGAGGGGGGAGGGAAGTGGGAGAAAATGAGGGAGGGATAACACTGTTCAAAAGCAATGTACTCATTACCTTATTTATGTAACTAACCCCTCTGCATATCACCTTTACAATAAAATTTAATAATTACAAAAAAGAAATAGAGTCACTGATAATCTCAGCAATTAGGAAGCAGAAAAATTAGAGGTTCAGATTTTGAGGCCAGCTCAGGTAAGAAGTTAGGGACACCTCATCGCAACTGATAAAAAGCTGATGTGGCAGTATACTTTGTCATCCAAGCTATGTAGAAACCCTAAAACAGGAAGATGTCAATCCAATCAGTCCTAAGTATATTTTCAACTTCCATCCCCCAGAAAAAAAAGGGATAGGGCATGGTTTAAATGGTTGGTAGAGTACATGACCGACAACTACAAGACTGAGTTCAACCCTAGTACCATTAAAAACAGCAATCAGAAAATTCCATTTTTTTAAATTTTTCAGAACGTTTTAATTTTTTTCTATTGTTGTAAAGGTGATAGAGGGGTTACCGTTTCATAAGTCAGGTGAGCAATGTCACCGTACAGGACTAGGCATTCACACATGGTGAGACCAAAGGAGGATACTCTTAGGGGAGGAACCCAAAGGTGCAGTGCCTCTGAGCATATAAAATAATATGTATTGAAATTAATTCTCAGAAATGGAAACAAAGGTTTTAGGTTTTTTTCCTTCCTTTTTGTCTTGTAAATTCCAGACATTTTAAGAACACAAACCTATATGGTCATGTCATATCTTTATGTTCTCTGCACCTATGATATTCCTTTTTGAGTAAACTTATAGTGTAGAAGTATTACTTGGGGATTAACTGAATTTAATAATATAATGGAACACAATATTTCATCTTTTACTAAATAGCTATCTCATGTTTAGCTTTTCCTATAGACAGTAGACAAAAATCATGTATTCTTTGAGGAAGATAAAATAGTTCAATTTATTTAAAGTATAATTTAAAATAAGGTACTAAGATAAATCTGACAAAGTCCATACAATGCATGAAACCTATAATAAAGCAATGGGAACCTAAGGGAAAATTTTAACATTGTCTAGATTTACCATGAAAACCACAGTCATTCTGGAGAAAGAAATTGAGATACCGATTGAAGTTTGCACAGAATTTGGAAGAGTTTCCCAAGAAGTAAGAACCTAATCTTGTGAAGATTGCCTCTCTTTATAGAGAGCCATAAAACTATCTGACATACAAAATAGAGTATGTGTTTCTGAAAATTTTTATAGTACAGTTAATGAAACGTTCTTAAGCTGGCTGGCAGTAATGCAAAAAACTTCTATTTCAATTTTCCATAGTTTAAGAGATTTGGAAAAGTTGATTAATTGGTACTAGGTTTTAGGAGAAATATGGTTGCTGTTCTGTTGCCCAGTGGGTAACTTCTACAGATCACAATATTGTAACAAATATTTCTAAAAATAAGAATTGTGAATATTTTCCCACAAAGAACTAATAAGTTTGAAGAAATAGTTCTGTTTTAAACATTACATAAAATATGTATACTAATGTATACTATGTATACTAAAACACTAAATGTTTTAACTAAAATATGGTATTATCTGGTGAATTCAAATGATGTAATTCCTTAGAAAGGCTAACTTAGCCCAACAAAATAAACACCAGGAAATGAATACTAATAAGGTATGAGGTGGAGTCAAAGGGCTGGGGGAAATGAAGAAAGGAAGGTGGAGAATGGAAGTCAGTTCACGTCCTACAGGATTAAGAGAATTAAAGGGAGGAGGAGGACTCAGAAATGGGAGAGAATGAGGAAAGGGATAACATCAATCAAGATGTGTTGTATTCAAAAATTGCTTTGTCAAATTGGAGCTCGTTTGTACAATTGAAGATAATAAAAAATTATAAAATAAAGGGGCTGGGCAACAGTGGCTCAGCCTGTTGAGTAGCTTATAATCCTAGCTATTCAGGAAGCTGAGATCTGAGGATCATAATTCAAAGTCAGTCCAGGCAGAAAACTCTGTGAGATTCTAACCAGCAAAAAGCCAGAAGTAGAGTAATGGCTCGAGTGGTAGCATTGAGCAAAAAAGCTAAGGGAAGTGCAAGTCCTTGAATGAAAGTCCCAGTACCAGCAATTTTAAAAGCCACACAAAAACACAAAAATGGCACCTCAGAAAAATACACAATCTTGTGTACCAACTTAAAAAATATATTAATCTAAAGAAGTATTTTCTTAAAGGCCTATTTTAAATAAGTAATTCAACAAATAGCTTTTTTTTTTTTGTCGGTCGTGGGGTTTTAACTCTAGGCCTGGGCGCTGTCCCTCAGCTCTTCAGCTCAAGGCGAGCGCTCTACCACTTGAGCTACAGCGCCACTTCCGGTTTTCTGGTGGTTTATTGGAGATAGGAGTCTTACGGTCTCTCCTGCCCGGGCTGGCTTTGAACCACAATCCTCAGATCTCAGCCTCCTGAGTAGCTAGGATTACAGGCGTGAGCCACCAGCGCCCGGCTAACAAATAGCTTTTCTATGAGTCAATAATATATTAGTCATATTAACCTTGTATTAATGACTTTCACATAAAAATGGTATTATTGTATAATCACATTTTGGAAATGCTGTATTTGTGCTAAACTTTAAAATCTATATGAATTTACAGAGCAGTTGGTAATTTTATGAACTGTGAATCTCCAATTCATAAATGGAAAAAAATGATATAGCTTCAGAACTCAGAAAACACCCATTTGGGTTTCTTGGGCTACACTTTAGAAAATTTAAATCATTTACATGCATAGTTGAGAAATATTTCATTGAGACAAGACTGCAAGTATAGAATTTTATGAAAGGAAACCCAAGATTATTATTAACCTGCCTTCTTTGCCTCTACTTACTTTGCTACTAGTGGCTAGGAAAGAATAGAAAGGAAAATACAACTGTAAATATAACAGGAATTTTTCCAAGCACTTAGCACACAATATTTGTTGAATATATTTTTAAGTATAAATTTTCTGTACAACACAAACAACTGATTAAAAACCAAGGAAAATTTTACTAACTCCTAGTGAGCATTAGGAAAATTT